ATAATCACATGCACCCTCACCTCCCTCTTTCTTTTTGATTTGCTCCTGAATGGATGCATCCATGTCTTTTCTTCCATTCATGATGTTCTTTTTACCCTCCAAACAGAGAGATACAGAATCCAGCCGCTTGGAAACATTGGAGGTGGCAGTGGTTACAATAAAAGGATCAAAGTTACATCATTTTGCCCAATAAAAGAAAACCCTGATTTAAAAGTAGAATGGACCCTGCCGAACAGCGAAACATCTCTGGTCCTTCTCCGGCTACCTGCAAAGCACATCGCCGCCTGCAGATGCGTATGCAGTAGTTGGCTCCACCTAACGACTTCACCAAAATTCATCTCTGCACAGCTCGACCATGCCCGGTCCGAATCCGATCCCCAAGTCCTTTTCCACGATTCGTACCCCCTCAGAGACAGAGACAAGTTCCCACCAAAACCCCCCCAATCAGGCCTCGTCTGCTCTTCCACGGACACATTGATTATTGGCTCGATCAACGGCCTGATCTGCTCCGCTGGCAACGGGATGTACCGCAGCTGGCCGACCCCCAATGACATCTGGATATGGAACCCATCCACTGGGCTCTCAAAGAAACTCCCCATGGGCATCCACCAGTTCCAGCGCTTTTCCAATTATCAGGCCACATTCGCCTTCTGCTGGGACAAAGAGTCTGACGTGTACAAGGTGGTTAGAATCATTTCGAAGAAATGCGAAGAAACCTTGGCCGAGGTCTGGTCCTCGGATATTAAATCCTGGGAGGAGATTGATCTCACCAACCACCCTTCTTTCTATCACCCCTCACACCATGTTAACGCGGTCCCAGCCACCACCTGCAATGTGTTTGTCGGGAATTCCCCCCACTGGGCTGTCATCGATTATTATGGGAATCCCTTTATCATGTCATTTGATGTCAAAGCCAACAAGCTGAAGAGATCCTATTTCCCATCTCAACTATCTTCTCACCGGGAAAAAGTCGCTGAGGGAATTAACTGTGGGCTTCCTGATCTTATTGTTACAAACTGGATGGGGAAATTGGCGGTGCTCGATGCTGTGGATTATCTTTCTGCTGATGATGAGTATGAGAAACTGGCCAAGGCTCTTTCTGCTACAGAGAGGGAGACGATTATATACTGGTTGTGGACGATGGAAGCGAATGGTCATTGGATTCGTTCATGTCTGTTTTCTTTTGGGTTTATGTTCAATTATTGCCTGAACTCCGTGGGGGGAGGGAAATTTATGCTGGTGGACAGGTATTCAGATATAGCATTTTACGACATTGTGGAGAGACGAGTTATTAGGACTTATGGAGTTCCCGAGGAAATTCCCTGTATATCTTTGGGCTTTGACTTTGTCGGGAGCTTAGTGTCGATTGAGGGGTTTGAGCCCATTGGGAACAATTTTAGCAAATTGATGACTCTCACCTGGCCAAGTCATGTGCAGATGAGCGTGAACGAGGATAAACACGGGGATAAACACTGCAAACAACTCTTTGTAAGTTCACGTAGTATTAGTATTATTATTGGCAGCCTCTACCGCCTGCTTGTGTGTTTGGTTCCTCTGTGTAAGATTTTATTTCCTTCATATTTTTTGGCTTAACATGATGCGTTTTGTTGTCATACTTGCGGGAGTAAGAAGTATGGCTTCCATACATACATGCATACAATACACACACACACACACGCAGATTTACTTGTTTTACAGTTTTGGCTTGCACTATGTTTTGTGATTCATGATTTATAGATGAACCATGCAATGCACATGCATCTTTATCGAAGCTCCTAAGGTTCGATCACACATTCATATTTAGTACCGACTCTTTCCCTCTCTTGCAGATGATTTCGGGAAAAGGTAAATTCTGTGAGGATGCAATGGAACGTGATCCTGAAGAGTCTGCCGTCC